TTAGAATGTTTTTTATTTGACTAGAAATTTTATATGGATTATTTGCTAAAGCAATGTTGTAATCGCCGAAGAAATTGTTTGGATCGAGTCACTATATTATTTAGCTGCCATACAAACTACGAATATAACTTTCCTTATGAATTAAACGATTGAAAAGTGTCATAAAATGCTCGTAATACCTATTTCTTAATCTTTCTAGTCTTTTTTTAATAATAATCGATATATTTAATAATCGATATTTCATTATCGATCATTTTGTTATCGATTAACTTATCTATAGTTAATGAAATTTAGTTAATTAGTTAAGTATCGAGTTGCAATTTTTCGAATTATTCCTAGAACGATTTTATTCCAAGTATTGATAAGTCTTTTAATTCACGAGATTTCTTCAAGAAATTTGGCACGGATTATTTTATATCGCAATACTGTTATTTACAAAAAAAAACTGTTCAGATCAAACTACTATACAATGTAACTGCCATACAAACTGACAAATCCAAATCAAGTTAGTGTAAGAACTCCTTTGTATTCATAAATTATATTAAAGCTTCCGTGCAACTGAAGCTAACGTTTTCGTTTTTCTTTTACAGGTATTACTTGGTGTCATAGTAGGAATAATTACCATTTTGTGCTGCTTTCACAATTTTCGAAAAAAAGTTTTTTCGAACTTGATTCAAAGCAATTAGAGTGAATATAATCTTCGGCCTTCATATTAGATTGTTCGCTTATAACGAGCAAAACCCAAACTGCATCAAACTAAAAATTTTCTAAAAAAATATAATAAATTTGTGACCTCCATAGAGCAAAACCCATTATACACAACCAAACTTTATAAACACATCTTCAGTCAAAAACGGTTACATTAACTTTTAGTTTTTCATTTCCTGCACGCAGTGCTCAACCAAAGATTTTCTATAACCCAATACACCATTCAATGTTTTTGCTCAATTTTCAAGAAATTTCACTGCCTTCGCTGTGCTCGCAGGAATCAATGTCACGTATGCGCCATGTAGTGCCCTTTTAATTGTTCACAAGTACTTCTTGAACTTACGCACACATATATATATATGTATATACTTCTATAGACGTACATATAAAATTTCGTTAGTTGCAACACATACTTAAGCAGCTCCTTACATATAATATCGAGCATACTTTTTGAATATTGTAGTAAGTAATTCAAACTAACAAAGAAACGTGCCCTCTTAGTGAACTTGCCGATTATGAGTGGCCAACCGCACACACACACACACACACGTACGCGTATAACGCGCTGCCACGTGGCAATGTGTGCATACCACTATGATGCACTTGCGCCGACATTGTGCATTTGCATATGCACTTATGACTGCGCACTTACATGCATATTTGCATGACATTGAAAAGGAATATCAACAATTTTTGAACATCGCCGCCGCCGACGCCGCGTTCAAGGGCATTTTGACAAGGCATTGAAAATGATTTGCCAACTATATGGCACTTGTAAGCGAAGGGGAAACATGCTGTAGCGGCGCGTCCGGTTATGTTGTGTATTTTGGAAACTTTTACTAAATACATACACACACACATAGTTAAGCATTGCGGGAATAGTTGTGGCCTACATTCAGGCGCAAGCGAGTTTTATCGATTCGCCGTTTCGCTTTGGTAAATTATATTGCACTAATTTTTTTACACACCATTGATTACGGAACTGTGCGAGCATTTTGCTGCCTGCAGCAAAGCTTAGTGGCGCTCATGAAAAGTCCCTGCGGACTTTTAGTGCATTTGAATTTACGGTTAGTTGCGTAATGAATGTAAATTGCATATTTATGAGTTGTGTTTTGCACATAATTTATGAAATTTTAATTATAGATTTCATAATGAGTATTTTTTTGCGAATTTTGAAAAGGCTAAGAAAATGCTTTTAAAATGTGCTTAAAAATACTAATTCCTATTATGATATTATGAGAACAACCGAAGAGGCTGAATTTAATATATTGAGTTAATGTGAAAAACATCAGTCAACGGAATTCTTTATATTAGGGATATGATACAATATCAAGTTCGTTTATATTAACACAAGCTTTAATTTAATTTGCTAAATTTTAAGAAAACCTGTTCAATTAATTTCATTACAATATCGCATATTTTTACAAACTTAAATAGTTTAAGCCAGGTGCAAAGTCGAAAATCATTCAATAAGGTATATTAGGGTCAGAGAAATGGAATTAGTGATTATATTAATTTTTGGCTTTGCTCAGGTAGACTTGAGAACTTATTTTCTAGCAAATTTAAGGAGTAAAAACATATGTACGTATATGTAGAGCTAAGTTATCAGGATGTTTCCCAATACTGACTATCAGTTATATGGGATTTCATCTGATTTCATACATTTTAGATACAAAGATACCCTGTTGTTGGAAAAATACACTCCCACATTGGGCAATATATACGGTATAAAGTCAACTGTGCATTGTAAATCTTTCAATTAAGTATATGGGGTTCAGGAAAGCATTGAACCGATTAAACCCGTTTTACATGCAAAGGAATATTATTACCAAAAAAATATTTTTCGAAATTTCAATATAATATCTAAAAGATTGACTGATATTTTCGCCAAAAAGTCAACCTTACGTACTTGAGCATACATATTGGCGTCTGGATTCTTGAAAAGTTATAATTCGATTTCGACAATTCTTGAGTGTTGGATGTAATGCATTCATTGTACTTTTATGAAAAATATTGCCTGGATACACAGATTGTTTCTTGGAAGTAAAAAAATCTTATGGTATTTAAAATTGGTTACAAGGAAAATAGGCAGTTGTTATCTGATTTCGGAAATTTTCACACTGCAATATAGAAATGTCAGGATAATATCACCTACCGAAAACGGTTGAAATCGGTACAGTAGGTTCTGAGCTATGGGTTTTAAGCTAAATTTGGGAGGTGCCACACCCATTGTCTATTTTGACTTCGTATCCTATTAATCCCTCTTTTATATTTTTTGTTTATAATTTTATGATTCTGATGCTTATTAATTTTTAACAAAGCCGTTATAAGCGGAGGGGATGAGGTTATCGATTTCATTAATACACGCACTGTCGATAGAGATTCTCAAATGACTCATCCAGTTCTATTTTTATCATTATAACTTTAGTGAATTAGAAAATATATACTAAATGTAATAGATGGAGCCCCACGGACGTTTTTTTCAAAATTTCAAAATAGCTTCTGCAGTTCCAATTTTATTTCTTATATTAGTACTTAGTTAAGGTATTTTATAAGTTTTCGATTGATTGCTCCTTGTAAGCAAGGCAGTTGTTCAATAACACCCATCTACGAGCTCACCATTCGGGTTCTGCCAAGAAAGTTTTTTGTAGAAAGCTTCATTACAATATCTTTTAATCAAGTTACAGCATGTATATTCGGACGGACGGAAGAACAGAGAGATGGTCAGAGACTCACCCGGATTTATGCTCATCTTGCCATCATATTAAATTATGTATATAATATACCTTTATAACTATCTCGGTGACCCAAACTATTATGCTTTGTAGCAACATGTTAAAAGAGTACAAAAACCGCATATAATTTTGTTTAATCATTCATTCATTTTCGTTGTCATTTCTGCAACATCTACCTACATTTTCTACAAAGGTTAATATTTCTCGATATTTGTATTAATTCGATTATTAATATCATGTGAAGTATTTTCAAAAATTAAATCTTTTTGCAAAAATGTTCTAAAATTGCTCGTGCTTTTTAAAGTAAACGTTATTAGTATTCCAAATACTAAGTTGAACAATTTGTTTCTATCGATAAATATCGATAAAATTCCAGATGTTAAAAAACTGGAAAAAAGTGGTAGCATATTAATAGTTCAGGCATACAATTTAGTTTTTCTCACGTTTTGCCATTTTTGAGACAAAAGCTTAATTCGATAAATAATCATGCATTTAAAGAAACAAATTTGTAGCATATTTACGAATTATACAATTGGAAATTGGACAAACAAATGGAAAACGGCATTGAATGTTCCAAAGTCGTTAATTCCTATTTATTTATTTTTGCAAAAATTACGTTTCATAATTATCGATATATTTAATAATCGATATTTAATTATCGATAAATTTTGATACCGATTAATTTTTAGATCGTTTACGAGATTTAAGTAAACATGTATATATATAAATCAAAGAATTCCACTTACTTTTCTGTGAAACATTAGTTAAGTATATAGTTTCAATTTTACTATCTTTCTCAGACAGCACTTCATGGACGAGTGTATTATAAGTGGCGAAAATTATTTCTACTTGCACAAAAAAATTTCTGTAATTTATATTTCCCGTAGTCCTTTTTTTCAATTCAATCTTTAATAAATTAAATAACACGAAACAAAATACAAATTATTTAAATAGTAGATTGGCACAGTTATTTATCAATCTGCGGGCAATTATTTTGCAATCTAAAAAAACATTTCACTTGCAAATGTTATTTTCCATTTATTGATTATTATTCTTTTCACACAATTTGATAACGGGTTTTTATAGCACGTTAATTACATAATTTGATCACATGAATTCACTTTAAATAAACCAAACATTATCTTGCAATTGCAAAAATATTTAACATTTCGGCGAATGAAACAAAAAACCGCCACACAAACTCAAACACAAGCTCAAAGCATCAATGCAAAAAGTTCAGCTTCAGCTGCATATTTATTTAATTACACAACCGTCATGTCCACCTGCTGGAAAATAACAATTAAATCAGCTATAATTAACACTGACAGAGGGGACATTTGACATTTGCATTAAGTGGTGGTTAAGCGAAGGCCAAGAGCCACGGAAAACGCATTCAATTGAAATGTGAAAGGGGAAAAGGTTGTTAATATATATACCATAAACTATTTATAGATAAAGCTATTGATTTTGCTTTAAAAGTGAAATTTTGAAACAAATATTGCGCAAGTTTTACTATAATCTGCTAGTATTGCTATGAATAGTTTCATTAATACTTACAATATGTGTCAGTCGTCAGACGATCGATGGTGTCTTGCTTCAATTTGGAACTCTTCTTACCCATGGCGGCGACGCTGCAGTTAACCTTTGAACCTTTGATTCACAACACAAATTTCTCTACTTCTTGAAATGTGCGGGTTTAGCTTTAATTTAGACTAGAATTTTTATAAACTAGTATGTGTAGATAACGGCTATATATAATTTTTACTTTTTTCAAAAATTATTTTATTCTTCAAATATTTTTTCTTTTTCTAACCTCAATTTGTTTTATATTTTTATATTATTTGGTGTTATTATTTTTTTTTTACAAATTTTCGATGTTTCTTGGGATAGAGTATTTTGTTGTGAAATATTCAATTAGGGAGTATATAGACTAGGGGAAGTTGTAGGTTGTATAGTTTTTATGTAGCGTTTGTCATAATTGTTTTGACATTTTAACTGCCTCGTTTACTGAAGATCTGAAAGGAATAAAAATAGCAAATTGGTTTGAATACATTTCTGATTTAAGTTAATAAATTGGAAATTTTATAGTTTTGAGAAAGATTAAAAATAGGAAATACTGTTTACGTTTATTTTATGTTATGTTTAAATGACTTAAGGGATTAGATGGGTTTCCTGGGTTAAAAGACATTTTTAAAAATAAATTAAAATTTCAGTGAAAATTTCATGACATTTCTTTCTCAAATAGTTGTAATCGAAAGAAATTCTTCGTCCAAGTCTTTAAGAATTGTAACACAAAGACCTGCGTAAAATTTCTTGAAGATCGGTTGAATAGTTTTCAATAAAGCTACCAACCGACTTCAAAAAGACATCGGGAAAAACGGTATTAATAATAATCTGCCATAATCTCTACAAGATTAATAAATACCTTTTTGTATTCACAGACCTATTTGGTCTGTACATCATTAATACTACCCCTTAGTAACATTTGATTATGCCCTGTGTTGCAAGAATTCCAAGACTTGATCCAGGGGCTATTGCTTCAAACATCCGTTGAAGGAGATGAATGGTCTTGCATAGCTTATGGTAATTGTGTTTGGAGTGAAGCAACTTTTCATTTCCTTCAGCCTTTGCGTTTCTTGTGCCCCCATATGACTATACATCCGATTGATATTAACCGAGTTACCTACTAAAAGTTTCATTATTGCTTGCTGGCTTGACATAAAGCAGTAAGATTTTGGCGTTACGAAAGCCTTAGTTTCCGCTTGCTTGTTAAATAAAAGGTTTAAAGACTAGCTGGTTAGAGCATTATTCTCATTTGGCACCTTCGTATTGTAAGACTGAATTATAGTGATTTAGTTCTAAGCTGCTTTTTGTGTATGAGTTACTGCGGAAAAAGCCAGCTGGTATTCCTATTTTACATTTTAATCCGTCGGAAGATATATGAAGAAATTATGTATTTGTATAAATTGTATAAGATGATATAACAGCACTCTTGCAACTTGCTAGGGCCGAAGCTAGAATGTACACTCACAAGGGCGAGTTTTCACCCACCTTTATTCATTTTAAACACAAATATGCATCGATATACAAAAAACAACATCATTTTAGTTTTATTGAGATGCCTCACATATTGAACGATATAATATGAGGTGTAAAGTCACCAGGAAGTTCAAAAATCTTTATATTAGTTATATGGGCGTCAAGGGAAGTATTAACCCGATTCAACCCAATTTTACACTGAGATATACTTCAATGAAGAAAGGATTTTCTCTGAATTTCCATTGTATATCAGACAACCTCACCAATATTTTCTATATGAACATGTTGCAAGTATAATAAAAAACTAAAGAGTAAAACCCAGCTCTTATTATTATGTTATTGTCTTTATTTAGGAAAAGAGTCAAAGTATTTCAGGCTAGCGATTTTCCCTACATGTCCACCTACTTTCCTATTTATTTTAAAAGAAAATTTAAAAGAAATCTCACCAGACCACCCACACAGGATTCTAAAAACATCTTCGAAATCTCGTTTTAACCTTTATCGCTTTGTGTATGCCATCGTTGTTATTGTTGCAACGTAGTTACTGTCGTCACCTTTGCTTTGGTGTAACATTCGGTTCACTCACACACCAAATTGATTTCACTCACACTCTATCTTGATTTCGCTACTAGTCCTTCTAGTCCTTCAAGTCTTCTACTTGTTTCCATACGCTTTAACTGTAAACAGTTTCGATGCACTTCAATTTGGCTAATGCAACTGCCTCACATACAGACGAACACACACAGCAGCCATTACCCAAAAACATATTTAAAAACGCATTATCATCCACACGGTGCACACACACACACATGTATAGTAGACTGCTCGTTGTGCTGCTCCGTTGCACTCACATATGTTTGTTTTCCCATTCGTGTGCCAAACGCTTGTGTGGCTGCATATATACATATGCGTGGGTGTTGACGTTTGTGTCGCCAGCAGCTGCACTTCAGATTCTTTTCCATTGTCTTCTGACTTCCTTTCGTCGTCGCCAGTGATTCTGCATTTTATTTCACCATTTTATTTTCGTCTACTTGTTTACGTTTTTGTTAGTTGCCAATGGCAATAGCCAAAGTGCTCGGCATTTAAGATGCTTTCGAGGGCTCATGGGAGAGGGCCAAATGCTCGACGTTCATGGAGGCATTGAGAATGCCCTCCCTGCGCTTAGACGAGCGTGAACGCGCAAGGTCTGTCATTGTGTTGCGGACTGAAGTGGCGGATAAGAGAAAATAGGCGGCGTCAAATGGAATTTCTTAAAACGCGCATTTAGGCGCATAGTCAATGTCGAGGTTAAGGTAACACCTCAGCTTGAAAAGGTTAAGTGAGGTATTTTCTCCGTGAGTCATGATTGCTATATTTCTAAATTGTTTGTGGTTAATTAATTTACCAATGCGAGAGAAGTACGCTTAATGAGATCGGTTTTCACTATATCACACTGAAAAAATAAAATCTCATACTAAAAAGACTGCTGAGCCAGTTTTGTAATTACTGAACTTCGTATTGCTCAAGCTAAAACAAAGAGAAATACTCGATATTTTCATTTTTATGTTTATGGTTGTCATACTATTACTCCCAATCATACGCAAGCTTGGTTTTGCCGATCTCCATTTCGATACGCTCTAAAAGGCCAATCATTCAAAATTTCCAAAAAATTGTGAAAATCGTTGTGACTTACTAACATATAAACATGATTTCCCTATAGCTTAATAAGAAAAAACACCTATTTGGAATTATGAAAATAAGGCGGTGTATTAAAAGAACCTCGAAGTATGGGCCCTTCATAAACTTAGGCAAAAAGAATCCATGGACAGAATTTCTATCTGCGAAAATTTACCGATTTCAGAATCCAGTGTTTACTGGCTCAATACGTCAAGCTAAAACGTTCGTGGCTAAATCGGTATGAGCCAGAGAAACGGTGGCGTACTAAAGGGTTACACGGGTTTTCTCGCACTTTTTCGACAATTTTATTCTCATATAAAAAATTTAATATTTTATTCAAAATTTTTATTGTTACAAACATACACTATTAACTAAGAAATTTTGAAATTTAAAAAAAAAAGACGCCATTTCCGGTGACCCCTCAGAAAAAGATGCGTCCGCGTTGGCAGGTTAACTCCTTAAAGGATAATCTAAAGTGAAAAAATACATGTTTTAGTTGAAACATTAACTTAGAACATCGACGAAGGACGTTTTCTGAAACCCAAGTATTCCATTAACGATCAAGAACGGTTTTCTGTAGATTTTGTGGGATTGGCAGGATATCAAAAGCTATCCCCTATAACCAAAATCTTAACTCGGATCTCTAGTATCAAAAATTCGACCGTCTGAGGTAAGCACTTTCCCAAAAGTGACCAGCTTCAGCTAATCCAAGTTGTTCTATCAAAGAACGTCAGGTCAAGCACTTCTTTAGTTACTCGTTCAAGTTCTAAGGCATTCCTGCCATCGAGTGTTTAGTGTTTTTGTTTATGCTTAATGGTTTTACTAGTGGAAAATAATAAGAATAAGGGTTTCTACTTTAAAACCCCTAAACTAACCGACCCAAATTGAGTTAGATTGCCAGAATGACAGTCATTTTCTAGATAAAATCCGGGTCAATTCTGGCAATCTCTCCTTGCTAGAGCTATACTTCGAAATCTCTCAAAAATCAGACGGCATTCCCTAACCTTCAGATGTTTGTACTACAAGTATATTGACGTCGGCATTGGAATAGATGACATGTGTTCGACAATAAACAGCTTTATCTCCGATCTTTATTGCTTCTTCTTTGCAAGAAACCTCTCACTTTCGTACAACAAATCCTCAACAACCTTATTTACGAACTTCATGCACTCCTCTACAAGAATTTTTTTTTTTTATTTTATTTATTTATTTTTTTTTTTTGATATTTTCGCAGAAATTAGTAATCGTCTTCTTGAAGTGACATTAAATAATTTGAGGCCATCACCTTCATTGACACTCACCCAGTGACTGACGTACTTGAAATTAAACCAACACCCATAGCAGAAGAAGAGCTTCAATTTTTCCAAGAATCGGCTCGTTTCATTTAGAAAATTATAGCCGGTTAAACTCTTTCTTCTCCAAACTGATCGCGACATACTAAATTTACATATCTCCAGCGTGAAACGAGTCTCCGCATAACTCGATCTACCTTTTTGCATACCCTGCGAACCACATTCATCTAACACCTCTCTCCCTAACAAACCATTTCCGAAGCCTACCCTAAAATGATTCCGATGGCAATCATCTTAAACCGTACCCCTCAAGCGGGGACTAAGTAACTGCTAAAAGAACAACAAACAGAATTTATACAAAAGTACCTTTATAAAACTATCAACTAGTTATCGAATAAAACAGTGCATGATCGGGCTAAATCGAATCATTCCAACTATGCTCAATGAAACCTTAATTTGAATGCAAAAAATAATGTTGTTTTCAATAGACCATAAATAATATTATCACAATTGTTTGTTTTAAAGAAATGTATTAAGTATTTTACAATAATTTCTCTTTCAGCTAACAACTCAAAATACAAGACAATTTTATTGCACTTAACACCCAAGAGAGTATACAACTGCTTCCGCGGGAAATTTCGATTTGTGTTAAGGAAACACACCCCTTCGCGCATTAGTGGTAAGTTCATACCTACATATGCTCATGTAGTGTATATATAGTACATATGTATGTGTATATAAAAGTTCATGTATAGATGTATATTATAGTGAATGTATGTATACTTAAGCACACCGTTATTATAATAGTGCTAGGCTGAAGTGGTGGCTCCCGTGCAGCGCCAATCTTACAAACAACTTTAGACACAGTTGGTCCGTAAGCGCAGCACAGAATCAACATGATTTAATGACACGCGACTACGCGGGGTGTGGATTCAGGTGTTCAAAGTGCATATGGGCTTGATAGCTTGTAGGCATGCTACTTACATATATGTATACATTAGTATAGTACATATGTGTTGAGCTCACGT